AAATATATAGATTGTATTTTAAATTTATAATAAATAATTTATATTATAAAAAATATTTTTAATTAATAATTTATTTTAAAATATTAATATTTAATTAATAAATATTTATAATAAATATAAAAAAATTAAATAAGAGATTAAAAAAATCTCTAAAAGTGCTCTCATCGAAAAACAATTCTTAAAAACATTCTCAATAGAAATTTGTGTTTAATATATGTTGATCAACATAAATTTTTTATAAAAAAAATGAGATTACTTATTATTTTTTAAAATGTATAATTGTCTTTAAAAGTGGAAATTAAAAAATAATCCCTTTTATATATTGTTAACTTATAAAAACACTAATTTGTACTTTCATATACTTTATTTATAAATTAAAAAAAGATAAATATTAATTAATTAATTAATTAAAGTTAAATAGGAGAGAACGATTAATAATATAAATATTATGCGAGTAATTTTTTTTATAGTTAATCAAAGGTGAAATAAAATTTAAATAATAAATACTTTGAAAATTATATATAGATAAAACAGTGAGAAAAAAGTATATATATATATATAGAAGAGAGATCATTTTAAATTGAAAAGATTAAATGGTTAAAACTTGATATAGAATATAAATTATTAACGAAGTAAGTCTAAATTTAAATAGATTTATTTTCCTATAATAAATAAACTTATTTTTTTTGGAATAAAAAAATCTATCCTCGTATATATATATTACCTTGGTTAAGAGTATTGATATCCATTATACAGATAAAAAAATATTTTTAAAAAAGTTTTACCGAAGAGAACTATTATCATATCTACCAGCGATAGAAATCGAACCGTAATCATATATCAACACTTGATAAGATCCGCATGAACTCCAAAATCGTGTCAAGTGATAAATCCCGGAGTCTCAAATGAAGCTGCTTTTGTTACATTCTGTTTAGAATTGTTATTAACCTTTTTTTCACTGTACTCCACCAAACCACACACTCCACCCTCTCTCACTGTCTATATATCTGGTGCTACTTATTTGTGGGGTACGTTCTCCTTCCTTCCCTATTTTTTATTTGTTTATTTTTTGTGTGAAAACTCAAACAGTCAAACCATTGATCATGTCCACCATGAACAACAAGAACCTCAAAGATTCCGAGCACTTGCACTTTTCATGGACCATAACAAAACTATTGTCTTCCTTCTTCCTCTTAGTCTCCCTCTTCTACCTCTTCTACTCCCTTGGCTTCCTCACACACTCTTACAATTGTGCACAAAAGAAGCCTTACCCTTATTACCCTCTTCCCACCATCAACCACAACGTTAACACCACTCCTCCCCAAGTGCCCTTTGAAAAAACCAACATCTCCCACATAGTATTCGGCATAGGGGCCTCGTCCAGGCTCTGGGCCCACCGAAAAGAGTTCATCAAGCTCTGGTGGAGGCCCAACGAGACAAGGGGCAACGTGTGGCTAGACCAACCAGTGGAAAAAACCGAACCCAGCGAAGACCACCTAGTTCCAACGTTGAAGATATCGAGCGATGTCTCGAACTTCAAGAGCAAGAATCCACGTGGCAACAGGTTGGGGATTCGAATATCCCGCATAGTGTCGGAGACAGTGAGGCTTGGGATGGAGAATGTGAGGTGGTTTGTGATGGGGGATGATGACACTTTCTTTGTGACGGAGAATTTGGTGAAGGTGTTGCAGAAATATGACCATAATGAGTTTTACTACATTGGGACATCTTCGGAGAGCCACATGCAGAATATTCATTTTTCTTATAATATGGCATTTGGGGGAGGGGGGTTTGCGATAAGTTACCCTTTGGCTGTGGCGTTGGAGAGGATGCAGGATAGGTGCATAGAGAGGTACCCTGCATTGTTTACCTCAGATGATATGATCCAGGCTTGTATGGCTGAGCTTGGGGTTCCTCTCACCAAAGAAATTGGCTTCCATCAGGTTAGTGAGTGCTAGTGTGGTACCTAGATTTGAAATTCTCTAGTCTCTTGCATGCTTTAATTTCTCAATGTGTTACTCTTTCTGTTTGGCTTCATCATAAATTGCTCAAAAAGATTTAATTATTTTTTTTTTCGTAAGTTTTACTTTTTAATCTTTATAGTTAATTTTTTTTTATTGCAGTTCTTGTGTGTATATTTTTTTACTGTCTTCTATTTTTATAGGAGTAAAACACAAAGTCTGTGTAACAAAGTATTGGATTTTTTTTTTTTTTTTGATTTAGTGTTAGTTTATATCAATAGGTGACTATGATTAAGAGACTGTTTTATTATAGTTTTTAGTTTTTTTTTTATGTAATCCACACATGCGTTTAGTATTATTTTTCATATTTTTGTAGTGTTATTTAAGTGGGTCTTTTGCTGCTTGACTTTGGTCATTAGTATGACTTAGATGGGGTAAGTGGAGAAACATAAAGGACACATGAGAAGGTAGGTGATGGGTGATTCATTATATGGTTTATTATCATTAATTTAGAAAATCAGACCTAATGTGTTGTAGCTGGAAAATTGAGGAGATGAAAGGAAACAGTGAAGGGTTTTTATTGAACATTTCTTAGTTGGTTGAAGATTTAAGCTATCCATGAGAATTATCTTTTTGATTTATTGTGTTTTTGTTTCTGAAAATATCACATTGACGTAACTAGCTAATTATCTGCACACTCTAAGTCTTACCTATAATAAAAATGTGTTTCGTGTGTCAATTTTCTGTGAAATATACAAACTTGAAACCAGGATGATTGTTTTATCAATAATAATAATAAATCTACGCGTACGAGGCAATAAATGGCATAAACACAAAAAAGACAATATTCATATGTGGTGTCATGGCATGCATACAGTACCAAATACAATATTTTGCTATCATATGAGAGGCGAAATCTGTCTGTTATTTAGAAAATTTATTTTTCTTATTTAAGATTCCTTGGAAATGCTCCAGTTATCGAATTCATCTTAACTTTCACTATCAAAAGACACCGAAACCACCACTGATAATGTCATCCCACGCCACCATCCACAGAGCAATAATGAAAAGTTGTTGCTTTCTCCATCTTTTTAATTCTTTCCTTTTTCTTTAATTAATTCTTTTGAGAATTAATTGTGTATATGTATTATTTAACATGAGCTTTTAACAACATCTAAGACATGATGCGCAGCCTCCACGTGTACTGCACGTGGCAAATTTTATTACTATTGTGAAGAGGTGTCCTGACACAACTCATGACACGTTATATTTGAAACATCGCATAATATAAAACCTTTTCTGTGATCGATTCTTGTTGGTCTAATGGTCGCTGTCAGTGTTAGATGGCATGCATGCATATGTAAGCTGCAACATCTGTTACATAGTTTTGGCACCTAGTGTACATGTTTAAGGAAAATGTTTATATTACGTTCAATACTCTTATAAAGAAAGAAAAACAAAATATAAATATGATATGCGAATATAAAAGAAAAAGTAAAAATACGTAATTACATTTTTAGATATTCAGTATAAAAAAATTACTAACACTCACGCACTCAGCCTCAACTCTTCTATGAACTTGAGAGAGTGTTTTGAGATAAAATATACAGATTTGTCAAAATTAATCAAACATACATATTAAATTAATTTGAGATTTCATTCTTAAATTTTACGAAGTCACGTCATAGCCCATTCTTAATTAATACGTAAATTTCACTAATTAATATTTGAATTTCTTGGATTAACATGAAATACGATAGGATATAATTTTTTCATCTTAGAATTATTTTGATTTTCCTTTTGGTTTATAGTTTGATGTGCACGGCAACGTGTTCGGGCTGCTAGCAGCTCACCCCATCACACCGCTAGTTTCGATGCACCACTTGGACCTGGTGGAGCCCATATTCCCGAACGTGGAGCGCGTGGAGGCCCTACAGCGGCTGATTGGGCCGATGAAAGTGGACCCGTATGGGCTGATGCAACAGTCGATTTGCTACGACAAGGCCCGGCACTGGACCATATCGGTGTCTTGGGGTTACGCAGTTCAAATATTCCGGGGCGTGTTCGTGGCCCGGGACATGGAGATGCCCGCCAGAACCTTTCTCAATTGGGACCGCCGTGCAGATTATACGGGCTTTCCCTTCAACACGCGCCCATTCAGCCGCAATGTTTGTCAGAAGCCTTTTGTTTTTTACTTGTCCGCTTATGATGGGCTTGTTAATCACACTCTCACCGAGTATATTCGGGTCCAGCCCAACCCCGACTGCAAGTGGAAAATGCCGGATCCAGCCCAAATCCAGATTGTGAAGGTCATCAAGAAACCCGACCCGCATTTATGGGATAAGGTCGGTTCCTTTCTTTTCCTAAGGCCCAATAGAACTTATTGTATGATATAAAATGAGAGATTAACACACATTCTGCCCTTAATGTATTATTATTATTATTTTGATTTGAGTGGAACTGAGAATTTGGTTACTTAAATGGGTTTTGTTTTTTGTTATTGGTTGAGCAGTCTCCAAGAAGAAATTGTTGCAGGGTTCAACCAACAAATGAAGAAGGAACTCTGGTGATTGACGTGGGAGAATGCAGAAAAGATGAAATTGTTGAGTAATAGTACTTAATTAGAGGCATGGGGAATAGCTCAGCTTTCTTCTCATGATTCTTAGTCACGTTCTTTATTATTATATGTCCTTTTCAAATGATTTTGGGAACTTCATAGCCAAGGTGTGGAGTATGCAAAAAGACAAGTGTAAATTGGTGTGGGTTTTTGGGTAGGGGTCTATGTAAAAATGTTATAAACTACATTAGATTTTTAAGATTTCATGAAAGAATACTGATTGTAATGTGTTCTTCAATTAAGTAAATACTTTTTTTTTTATTTTCCAAATATAAATTTTCTTCAGCATAATTTTGTATGTAGTTTTTGGACAGGTGAAAAATATAGTTGTAAGTTTTAACATTGAAGCTTTTCTATATTTTTCTTTGAAAAATGCTTTTGCATTAAGAGCTAGTTACATTCTTTAGGGCTATGGCACTTTCACAATTGCTATCAATTATCATTATGCCGTATGGAACAATTCCTCTCCAAGTGTAGAAATATACATGTGTCCTTCAGCAAGTATGGAGGGGAAAATATCTTATTATAAAATTAATTCTAAATTAATAACTAATTTTAAACTACTTTTTATATTCTTCTAGTGACTTTATTAAACTAGTTGGCAACTAAAGGTATTAGAATACTGATGGGTTAGACTAAGAGAACTATCCTAAACACAAAGTGGGTTTATTCAAGTCACCACCATTATATATATCTAAGTCACTTTCACATCATAGCTACTTCATCTTTAATTCACATATCATCCTTCATTTTCTTCCTCTTCCATGACTTTTCCCCTTATACCTCCATCCAATTTTTCTCCTCCCACCTTATCCATTTGTTTTTGTCCCACCTTTTTCACTTTCTGTGCTTCTTCAGCCTTATATCCTTCCGTGACTTTCTAACTCCCACTACTATGATTTTCCCCCTTTTTCAAATTACAATGATAAAGGTAAATGACTCATAACAATTAATACTCATAAAAGACAATTGGAATTAGATAGAAAAATGGAAGGTTGGAAGAAAAAAGTTGTAGACGTAGGAAAAGGAGTAAAGAGATGTAATATCGGGAGAGAAAGGTGGTAAGGAGGTAGCACATGACAAATATAAAAGGCGATGGAAACATGAAATGAGGAGATTCTAGCGTCAAAAAGAGAGAGAAAGAGAAACATAAGTATACTTAGTAATACACTTCAAATAACTTTTATATAGAGACTAATCAAATTCTATTTATAAATTTAAAAATTAATTTTGATAACACTCACTTCAATTGTATGAGAAAAATAAGTTTTTTTTAATCTTAAACATAAGAAACACAAATATCAATTTAAGTTGGTATGAATAGTTAAAAATTCTCATTGCTTTATCAAATGGCTAGAATTCAAATTCTAATTTTTGAATATTTAGAGCACTCAAGCTTGGAGAGTATGTATACTTATTTGATACTTTTCAAATTTAGATACTCCTCAATAATAAATTATAAAAAAAAAATACAAACTCATTTTCATATGTACTAATTCGTATAATTTTTTATACTCTTAATTTAGTATAAAAAATAATGATGAAATATTTATTTATTTCCTATATAAAAGGATGCATTCATTTTTAATGATATAAATTACATTAATGGATTAGGAAAAAGTTATTTCTTACTATTATACTAATAATGTTAGGAATTGTAATTTAAATATATTTTATCTATAGAATTATAATCACAATGTCATAATATTAAAATTCATACTTAAATTTAAGAATTTATATATTATACTTCAATTTTGTAATAATGATTGAATCTATGTCCTCATATTTTTAACTATCTTAATCTCTTCTCACCCAATTACTAAACTAACTCTAGTTTTGAATTTATAGACAAAACATCTCATTGATTTTTACATTTCAAAAAAATAAAAATAGTCTTCAATTAGTTAAAAGATATTTTTTGATGACATAAAAATTATAATCAACACTAAAATTAATTTATTTAAATTTATGATATTATTAATTAAAGTTAATTAAATGTACCTAATTTTATTAATCTTCATTTAATTACTTTTTATTTAAAGGTAGAAAAAAATAATGTGACATCCAGCTAAGAAAAAAATAAAATCCACTCTTAATATATATATATATATATAAAATAAATTTTTTAAAAAAAATTGGAATCCTTGGAATGAGTCAAGACAGTGAATTCCCAGGTTGTTAGAGCGTGTGGGTCCATCCATCTGACTCTCTTCTTCTTCTTCTTCTTCTTCTTCTTCTTCTTCTTCTTCTTCTTGTTTTTCTTCTTCCACTCATTTCTTCGCTACACAACACAACCATGTCTTCCACTCTCTTCTCTCTCCTCTTCCTCCTTCTCCCCTTCACCACCCTCTCCCACCTCTTCTCTCCCCCCGACAACTACCTCATCAACTGCGGCTCCTCCGCCCCCTCCACCCCCGTCGACTACCGCCCCTTCGCCGGCGACCTCGTCCCCCGCCACTCCCCCTTCTCCCCCTCCCCACGCGCCGTTTCAGTCCAAAACGACAACCCCCTCCCCAACCTTCCCCCAATCTACCACACCGCTAGGCTTTTCACCACCCCCGCCAGATACTCCTTCCCCATCACCCTCAAAGGCACTCACATGCTCCGCCTCCACTTTCACCCCTTCAATTCCTCCAATCTCGACCTGGGTCGCGCCCAATTTCACGTCTTGGTCAACGGCCACGTCGTTCTCAGCAACTTCACGCGCTTCGTAAATCCCCAGAGAAACCCTAGAATCGTCGAATATCTCATCTGGGTCGATTCGGAGAAGCTCGTTGTCATGTTTGTGCCTAGCAAGGATTCCAAATTCGCGTTCGTGAATGCCATTGAGGTGATTTCCGCGCCCAAGGACCTTGTTCCCGAGACTGCCCAGTATTTGAGTTCGTCAAAAGTTGAGGTTTTTGATGGGTTGAACAAACAGGCTCTTGAGGTTGTTTACAGGGTCACTGTTGGGGGTCCCAAAGTTACTCCTTTTAATGATTCCTTGTGGAGGACTTGGGTTCCTGATGATGGGTTTTTCAAATCAAGTGCTGGGTCTGAAAAGCTTTACTTTGGTGGGAGGATCAAGTACCGCGTTGGAGGGGCTAGTCGTGAGGTTGGCCCTGATAATGTGTACAATAGTGCAAGGTTGATAAGGAGTAAGAATGATTCTGTTCCTAATGTTAACATGACTTGGGTGTTTCCTGTTGTTGGAGGGTATAAGTACTTGGTTCGGTTGCATTTCTGTGATATTGCTAGTATTTCGCTTGGCTTGCTTTACTTCAATGTGTATGTGAATGGGTATTTGGCGTATGAAGATTTGGATCTCTCTTATGTTATGAATTCGCTGGCTTCGCCGTTTTACGCGGACTTTGTGGTTGATGGAGGAGATGATGGTGTGGGGGGTTTGAGTGTTAGCATTGGTCCTTCCAAGAGCAGCATGGCTCATGTCATTGATGGTATATTGAATGGAGTTGAGGTTATGAAGATGAACAATTCTCACAATAGTCTTGATGGAGAGGTTTGTGCTGATTTTGTTCTGAAGAGCTGGTCCACGGGGAATTCAGGTTTGTTGTTTACTTTGGTGGCTGCTGTTTGCATTGTGTTGAGCTTATCCATAGTGGTTCGTAGGAGGTTCATTGGATCAAGGGAATCTGTGTCGTGGTCGAGGTTGCCTGTGAATTTATCGGACGATAGTGTTAAGAATTAAGATTGGTGATATTTAGTTGTATACTTATATCAAAAGATAAGAAAAAATATTGGCAATATTTAATCAGCAAGTGAATAGTTTGTGTGTAAACTATCAGCAAATCTAGCCATCTAAGGTGGCTTTCAAGAGAAAAGAGAAACATGAAGGCACATGCTGCAGATCAAGCTAGAAAAAGGAAGGAATTCTTCAAAGTCCTACTAGTACCAACTTTTTAGGTATTATTGTATTATATCTATAAGTTGCCTTGTTTATATCATGATATTAGGCATTCCTTTTGCCACTAGACTTTGCTTTCTTATCATTGTTCATTTTGATCTGTTTTGTAATGTTGTAGCCATTTCATCATTTTTATAGTTTGTACTTGTGGAAAATACTGTAACTTTCATATTGAGTGGTTATACTTATATGAGTTTACTGGTGCCCCCAAATTATCTGTTTTGGTTTATGCTTGAACTGAGTTTTGTTTAAATTAATTATGGAACAAATTTCTGATTCCATGAGCATACCTGAAGAACGCAGGGAAATCCAATTTAGAGTATTGCATAGAAAATTGCTTTTGTAGCTCATATGTTTAATTGGTTACCTATTAGATCTGACGACGCACTTAAAGCTCTTGGCTTGAATTACCCTCTTCATAGGTGGCAATGGAATTTGAGATTTTATAATATATGAACCATTATCCTAAGTCTGAATGGAAATTAGCATTTCTGCATTTGCCAGCCTTTTCAGAGAAGTTCTCACATGCTCCTTGAACGATTTTTTCTTTCTCCATGGCCAAGTCATAAGTTCTTATTTGATATTTTGCAACACTTGTTTGTTTTCAATAAGTTCTCTCTTCTTTAATATTAAACTTCTTTGCTTTGATAGCATTTTCCATCCAATGTGATTGTTTTTGGACTTCCGCACGAGTTTTGGATGGAATCTGAGCTCTTTTCTGTTGTGAGAGTTAGCATTTTGTCTTTGCATGGGTCATATCATACTCGGATTTTTCTTCTACCCATGTTCGAAAGCTTATAAAGTTGTTTTAGTTCTTCTATTTGTTTTCTACGCTTTTCTAAACCAGTCCTTTAGCTTGATAATCGTTAAGGGTTAGATGTGTGAGGACTTCGTTGTGAATTTTAAGAAGCTGGAGATTATTTTTGTGAATCTTCTGGATTTGGAGTCTTCTGAAAGATAACAGTAAGCTTTTGATTGTCTAAAGTCTTTCTATTGAAACTTCCTCTAGACTTTTGAGACATTCTCATACCGGTTTAATGGTAATGCAATGTGGATGTAAAATCTTTGATATTGTGAACTAATAAAAAATTATTATTAGTATGATTTCTGAGGTAATTATTGTAATAGTCAATAAACTTGTTAGAATGATGCATACCTGAAAGGTGATTAATGATGTGTTTTGCAACCATTTTGTTCTTAACAACGCTTATTTTCTGACTACTAGACTTCATATCTTTTGATACATATCATTTGTAAAATGCCTTCTAAGGTACAATCTTCTAACTGCATGTTTGATTGCGCGGTGAACCTCTCTAAAGCGCTAAAAAAGAAGGAAACATTGAAGTCATATCAAGTAGCTTTACATTCAACAAACATATTCTAAAACTAGGGATAGTCTTTTGAACGCCATATATTGTAGCATTTACATACGAAAGTACCACAAACGTAAAATAAATTAACATTTTATTAAAGTTCACAATGCCATGTTTATTTTCTTAAATATGAATTTTCTTTTGTGATTTAAATAATTATTATACATGGATTTTACATTTTATATTATAATTATATTATGTATGAATTTTATATGTTAAAATAATATTTGATCAATAAAATTTATGTCATGTAAATTTAATTTAGTCTTTAATTATTAGATTTAGAACATCAAGTATGTCGATAAATAAATAAAAAAATAGTTACGTGGTCTCTTCTGATATTTAATATATGTTCATACCAACATCCTTTATTGTAAATATGTGCTCTGTAAGTGAGTTTATTTACTTTTATCTCCTCATTTAAACATGTTTTGAATTCTCCCATGATGAAAGAAAAAGCATAAATATATTTAAATCTAATTTTTTTTAATTAAAATATATTCAAAAGACAAAAATGAAAGAAAAACACAGCCCAACTAATAACTCGGAGAGGTCATGACCTTTAATTATTCCTAATATTGTAGGCAAGCCATTTTTTATGGTTGATGATGCAGAGCCAAATGAACCATAAATCCCTATATCCCTAGCTCACGCGTTTGGTTGAGTTAATAGGTTTTGATATACACAAACACAATGCCACACCGCCATAATAGTCACCGTTTGAAAAACGTGCTGTTAGATATCAAGTGTACAAATTTTCTACACCGTCGTTCTTGCATTTAAATCTCTCCTTATCTATTAAGAATTTAGGACTCCCATGTTTTCATTTTTGATATTTTTTTACACAATTCAGCCTATAATACGCAAGAGCAAGGTGTATGAAATGCCATATACTGTGATGAAAACATACCAAATGTTTTCGTGAGTAAGGTATGTATTAAGGATAGGTGTATTGGATTAGGATTTTAAAGGATTTCTTTAGTTGAAAAAAGTCATGTGAATTTTAAAAGATTTTGTAGGATTTCTATAATTTTTAAGGTTTTGTAGGATTTTGCAAGATTTTAAATCAAGATTTTAATAAATTCTGTAAGAAATCAGAATTTTAACAGATTCTATGAGACTTTATAGACTTTGCAGAATTTCGTGAATTTTTCACGTATGATAAAAGTTCAAGAATTTTTCATATATTCAAATTTAGAAAGAGTCAAAGACAATTTTTTTTTAATTTTTAATTACTTTCAATTATTTACTCGTGAAGAAATATTTCTAGTATTAAATTTTAAGATACCATAATGTCTTATGTTTATTTCCTTTTAAAAATATGAAAAATCCTAATTTCATAATATAAAAATTAAAAAAAATTAGGGTTCTTCCCCCAATTAAGTTTCATTCTCATTTCATTCTACTCACAGAAATTCTAACTTAAATTCATCTTGATTACAAAGTCTTAAAGATCTACGGTTGATTTTAGAGATCATGATATCAATTTCAGCTTTTACCTTTCCTTTTTCTTGACATATTTTATAAAAAAAATACTACTTAAAAGTTGAAATTTTCTTTGTTATATATCTAAGGAACAAACTCAACTAAATAGAGCAAAATAAAAGCAACTCAATTAAAGAGAACAGAGAGAAAAATAGAGCAAGTCATTAACACTGTTAGGCCCATTTCCCAGTATGACCCACCAGACCCATTAAGTGTGCAGGAGGAAGTTATTACTTATGGAAGACCCCAAAGGATCCGTAACAAACCACCTCACCTAGACGACTACGTGACTGAATGAATTAGTGGCTGCATATTATTCAATGGGCAATTCGGTTATTGTATGCAGGACAGGGTTAACAAACTTTTATTCCTTTTTCTTTTGTCGCATTGTACGTAAGGTGCATATATAGCACCATGAATTAAGCACAAAGGGTAATGAGAATTTTTACGTAACTGTCACATCTTTCTTTCTGATATCCCTTTTTCTGATTTTCTTCTCTTTCTTTCTGAAAACCCCCTTGCATTGGTGCTCTCGTTGTCCCCACATCATGGCAGACCCCTCTGACGCCATTTCCAAACTTGACAAAAAAATTGAACAAATCCTCCTCGCCCAGGCTAATTTTTCCAACACTTTACATGACATTGCTTCCCGCACGTCCCTTTTGGAATCCAAACCATCTTCCCCACCACCATTTGCAAACCACACCTCTCCTCGACCCATAAAATTTGACTTACCCTCCTTCAACGGGGATGATGCTCTGGACTGGATCTTCAAAATTACCCAGTTCTTCGAGTTTCATCAAACCCCACCGGAGCAACACACTCAAATCTCTTCCTTCTATCTTGAAGGACCAGCACTGGCATGGTACCAATGGATGCACAACAATGGTCTCCTCACCTCTTGGGACGCCTTCCTTCGTGCCTTGGAGCTCCGTTTTGCCCCCTCCAAGTTCAAAGACCCCATTGCTGCACTCTGTAAGTTGTCTCAGACCCAATTACTTCAAGATTACATCACTGAGTTCGAATCCATTGCCAATCGCATCTCCGGCTACCCAGCTAGTTTCTACCTTAGTTGCTTCATTTCTGGGTTGAAACCACATCTCCGTCGGGAGGTTACAGCTCTACAACCCACCGACATGCCTCAGGCGGTGGCTTTTGCCAAGCTTCATGACGATAAGTCCCGTATTGTCACACCTCCATTTTCCAGATTCTCCAAACCATCCCTGCCACTAACCGCATCCACCCCACCCAAACCGCTTCCCCCCTCCTTCCTACCCCCTCCACCAAAATACCCATCAAACGACTCACTGAGGCCGAAATGCAGGATCGTAGGGACAAGAACCTTTGTTACAACTGCGATGAAAGGTACACCAGGGGCCACCGTTGCAAATCACAATTTCTCTTACTCGTTGTCCCTGCGGCTGACAACATCTCTGATAGTCTTCCAGAGTAGGAATCCCAACCCCCTGATGACCCTTCACTTGAAGCGGGTCTATCAATCTCCACTCTCTTTCGGGTCAATGGACTCCACAGACTTTTCGGATCACCGGGTCACTTAAAGAATACGAGGTCCATATTATGGTGGATAGCGGGGCAACACACAATTTCATTCAATCCAAAGTGGCCCACTTCCTTAACCTTCCCCTCGAGCCCACTTTGAGTCCACTAAAGGTCATGGTAGGTAATGGAGACTTCCTACCGTGTACAACTTATTGTCCTCAAGCCCAAATTACTCTTGCATCTCTGAAATTTCCCATTGATCTATACCCCTTAGACCTCTCTGGTACAGATATTGTGTTAGGAGTGCAATGGCTTACACAAATAAGCCCATTTATTATGGACTACAATGGGCCCTTTATGCGGTTCATGTGGGAAGGCAACATGGTCGAACTAAAGGGAGAACATAGCTCCAGCCCCATCCCAATCACTGCCCACCAGTTACGACGCTTACATCATACAAATCGTGTTGAAGCTCTTTTCCAACTAATACTAGAGCCTTCTTCACCAACACTACCCTTACCCCCTCAAACTCAACAGCCACAAACAAATTCCACCATTCCTTCCATTGCCCCCCCCCCATTCCAATCATTACTCATAAAATATTGCACCTTATTCACCACCCCTACATCCCTTCCACCCTCGCGAAGCACAGACCATTCCATTCCCCTACTGCCCAATACCCCTCCCATTTCAGTTCGACCATACCACTATCCTCATTTCCAAAAACAGGAAATCAAGACACAGGTTGCAAAGATGCTTGAATCTGGGTTTATCACTCCCAATATCAGTCCATTCTCATCTCCGGTGCTCTTAGTCAAAAAGAAGGACGGCACATGGCGATTTTGCGTGGACTATCGTGCTCTAAACCCCGCCACTGTCAAGGACAAATTCCCCATCCCAACCGTTGATGAATTGTTGGACGAACTCGGTCATGCTTCATGGTTTTCCAAGCTTGATCTCTTCTCAGGATTTCATCAGATATTGATGGTGCCTTCGGATTCAAAGAAAACAGCGTTCAGAACCCATAACAGCCATTTCGAGTTCAAGGTTATGCCCTTTGGGTTGTGTAATGCTCCATCCACATTCCAAGCTACCATGAACGACCTGTTACGGCCACATTTACGACGTTTCATCATTATTTTTTTTATGACATACTCGTCTACAGTCCCACATTGGAGTCTCATCTCAGCCACCTGGAAACAGCTTTCCAACTTCTGCTTGCAAAACTGTTTTCACCTCAACGACTCCAAATGTTCAATTGGCCAGCAATCCATTCATTATTTGGGGGTGAGTGCAAGGTCTCCTGGATGATGGTCTGATGTTGTCCAGGGCGTTTAGTACTAGCGAGCTTTGATAGGAGGTCAGCTCTGGTGTTCTGTTCTCGCGGTACATGTTGTATAGTGAACTCGTCGAAGGACGAGATCTGCTGTGATGCCATGTGGAAATACCGCTGGAGGAGCACGTCCTTGGCCTGGTATGTTCTGCTGAGATGCTCTACCATGAGTTTCGAGTCGTTGTTGCAACTCACTCTCCGAGCTCCGAGATCATGGGCCAACCTTAGCCCTGCGAGAAGTGCCTCATACTCTGCCTGGTTGTTGGTCACCTTGAAGCTAAACTTTAGAGATTGCTCCAAAGTGACTTGGTTCGGTCCTTCCAAGATGATACCTGCACCACCACCTTTAGAGTTGGAGGACCCGTCAACGTGTAAAGTCCATACCTGTGGTTCCTCGACTGAGGTAGGCGTGAGCTCGGCTATGAAGTCAGCCAGGCATTGAGCTTTCAGGGCACCGCGACTTTCATACTAGATGCCAAACTCGGACAATTCTACCGACCAGGCTATCATCCGTCCGGCGAGCTCCAGCTTTCTCAAGATCTGCTTGATTAGGTAGTCGGTCTTAACGACTACTTGGTGGCTTTGGAAGTAAGGTCGGAGGCGCCAAGCTACGGTGACAAGTGCCAGTGCCAGCTTCTCGATCATTTGGTACCGCTTCTCCGTGTCTTGGAGGACCCGGCTGATGAAGTAGATCGGCGTCTGTACTTTCTGGTGCTCTTGTACTATAACTGCACTGATGGCGTTTTCTGCTATGGCCAAGTAGAGGAGGAGGTCGGTTTTGTGATCCGGCCTCTGCAGGATTGGCGGGGTCGTGAGAAAGGTTTTGAAGCTTTTGAAAGCCTCCTCACATTGGTCTGTCCATTCGAAGTTCTTCGGCTTTCGCAGCAGGGTGAAGATGGGCCCTGCCTTGTCCGACAACCTCGGGATAAAACGGGAGCACTTCTGTACGTAGTCTTGGCAATCTGATTTCAAAGCGGGCCAGTAGTATCCTGCTCGGAGTACTCTGGTCGCCATTGAGCGTGCTCCGGAATGCATGCCACATATGCCTCGGTGGATCTCCGCGATGACATAGGTTGCCTGAGGTGCAGTTAAGCACTTGAGTAGTGGGGTGGAGATGCCACGCTTGAATAGTTCGTCACCAATGATCATGAACTTGGCCGACCTCAACCTCATCTTCCGAGCTTCGTCCCCGTCCTCGGGCAGAACTCCTTCCTTCAAGTAGCTCCAGATGCCTGTCATTCATCCCTGGTCTTCACGTCGCTAGTGTTGACGACCTTGTCGTCCAGGCTGGGTGAGTGCAAGGTCTCCTGGATGATGGTCTGATGTTGTCCAGGGCGTTTAGTACTAGCGAGCTTTGATAGGAGGTCAGCTCTGGTGTTCTGTTCTCGCGGTACATGTTGTATAGTGAACTCGTCGAAGGACGAGATCTGCTGTGATGCCACGTGGAAATACCGCTGGAGGAGCACGTCCTTGGCCTGGTATGTTCTGCTGAGATGCTCTACCATGAGTTTCGAGTCGTTGTTGCAACTCACTCTCCGAGCTCCGAGATCATGGGCCAACCTTAGCCCTGCGAGAAGTGCCTCATACTCTGCCTGGTTGTTGGTCACCTTGAAGCTAAACTTTAGAGATTGCTCCAAAGTGACTTGGTTCGGTCCTTCCAAGATGATACCTGCACCACCACCTTTAGAGTTGGAGGACCCGTCAACGTGTAAAGTCCATACCTGTGGTTCCTCGACTGAGGTAGGCGTGAGCTCGGCTATGAAGTCAGCCAGGCATTGAGCTTTCAGGGCACCGCGACTTTCATACTAGATGCCAAACTCGGACAATTCTACCGACCAGGCTATCATCCGTCCGGCGAGCTCCAGCTTTCTCAAGATCAACACCGTCATTTACATATTGGAGTTTCACCAAATAAGGGAATTGAATGGAAATAGTAGTACAATATTATATATGAACAGTAATGCAGTATTATCAATAGAGAAAAAAATGGAGAAGACAAGAAAATAGAAAAAATATATATATATATATATATATATATATATACAAATTTATATAAATACATATATATATATATATATATATATATATATATGAAAAACTCACTTGGAAATTCATGAAGCACTTGAAAAGTCACTTCAAACAATTTTTCAAATTCTGATGGGTTTGGAGGGAATTATTTTATGAATTTGGTATTTATAGATACTACTAAAATTTTTTTCAAAATCCGTCTAATACAACAATCCTTTAAACTCATTATATTTTTGAATACTAATAGATTGTTTTTAAGTTGTAAAAGTCTCAAATGAATACTAATAGATTTTAATGGACTCTTTAAAAAATTTTGAAAATCTAAATTGAATACTACTGAATTACTTTTAAGTGACATAAAATGATTAAATATTAATAAAAAAAATTTACTTAAAAAAAATCTTTTAAAATCCTATGAAATCCTAAACCAATACACCCCGTAATTTTCTTTCCTTCATTCTCTTTGAACTCGTCATATTTATGTGTATGGATATGAGAAGTTGTTAGGAACAATATTTTTGGCTACTTTCTAGTTTCTACCGAGAATCTTACTTTACAACCAACGCACCAAAATCTGTTACTGCTTTGTTTCTGTTGTAACCTCATCTCAAACCATAGGCTTATTTTGCCTTCTGTTATAATTTTCAATATGTGATTTTAATTTCTCAAATTTTAATTTTATATTTTATCTCTCAATTTTATAATTTTAGTTTTACTGTTAAATATTTATTTATTAACAGTTAAAATTATAATGTTAATTATAATATAATATTTTATTTTTATCTCATAAGAGTGTTAGATGAGATTAAAATAAGTGTAAAAATAAAGATTAAAAGTGTAATTTAATTTAAATATTAATTATTATATTATATTTTTTAAGTCGTGTAACAATCAACGTTCCAATTTTAATAGCAAATAAATAAATATCTAATACATAGTAGTGTTAAAATTACAAATTTTATAAAATTAGAGGTTAAAATTGTGAATTTAAAATTGAAGGATAAAAATTATCATCAATTGAATATTACAAGCTAGAAGAGTAAAAATGCAGTTTAGGCTAAACAAGATATTTTTTTATTGGTAAGAATTACAATAACAATAATAAAAATTTGAATATATATATATATATATATATTATATCTTAAAGCTTTTTGTTTAAAATTTGAAAAGAAACTAATTAAAATAACAATGTCAATTACTATCTTTTATGAGTTTAATTTTTTATTCATTGGTTAACATGAAAACTTAAGGATCAACTGTAGCATCAATATATGTAATATATATTGACCGTACATTCCAATTAAACTCATGATTTTTTATTTAATTTTGTGGTAACAGTTATTTAAAATTTGATTTGTTTTTTCTTTTAAGTAATATTTGCTTCTCTTGTTCTTTCCAACGTGCATGATTATTGTATATCCATACATACATATAGCAAAATTCAACACACACACGACATTACAACACATCTAAAACACACGCAGGCACACATGAAGCTTGAGACAGGCACGAGCCTCGATGCTATGGATTGTGTTCTCCTTATAAATTATTAACCGCAAGATTCACGGTCCAAATCCCAAATTTACCTTTGATTTGATTATTTCCTATTTTGAAGGCACTGACTCAGCAACGAATCCTTAATACTCAGTACTCACCATTCATTTTGGTTCCTAATGAAATGAACAAAATACCCCTTCACCTCATATAAAGCCATGTTATTGTGGCAAAACACTTTAATTTTCAGTGTTCACTTCCCAGTTTCCACACACTATTTGCCTCTCTTTTAAGTCTCATTGAGCCTTTCACTTTGTTCTTTCCTGTGTCCTTCACTTGGAATAGATCACCACACTGATGAGGTTTACCTTCAAACACGTCAACTCTTTGAATGTGACTCACATGATTTTGGTCACATACTCTTAATATGATATATTTTTTTCCACACTCCAAACAAAGCATTAGGACGTGAAGCTTGCTTTTTGTTTTCCACTACTTATGAAGTTCCACTCATTAGAGTCTTTTTCTCCAAACTCATTGTTCTCACTTTAGTGTAGACTACAAGGCAGAAGAAAGCAAAGGATTAAGAAACCAAACATGGATGTAGAAGTGGTGCAAAAGCCACCTTCTCAACAAAAACATGGCAGGGTTCAATCTGCAATAAGGTTGTTAGTGATGGTTGTGTTTCTGGGTTGGATTTTCATATGGATAATGGCTCCTACAAACACTTACAAACAACAATGGAAGCCTTGGCTTCAAGCAAAGACTAGTTCTACCTTTGGCACACAAGGTATCTTTTTGATTAAGCTTTATAAGCAAAATTCACTTCATGTTTACATTGTTGAATTAGTTTATTATGTTTGATACCAAAATCCAATGATCTTCTTCTTGTAGGAGCATCACTTCTGGTTTACACTTTTCCAATGTTGTTCATAGCTGTTTTGGGATGTGTTTACGTCCACATAGCCAAAAAAGCAAACGGTTTCAGCATGGAAAGGTCCGATATTTTTTTATTCTCAAACCCCCCATTTCGATTTTCTGATCATATATGTTCTTGCAAGGGATTGATTATGGGATAATGATCAACACCTACCCTGAATTCTCTACCCAATGTTGCACATTATTTTGATTTTTTAAGGCAATTAGACATTCAAATAAATTTATTAACTACTTGTGAAAAATATTAAAATGTCTAGAGATATCACGAGATTATTGAAATGTCTGATGATGATTAAACATGTGGAGATAAATTCTCTTTATTGTAAGATATGGAAAAACTGGTTCTGATAATTGTCTTTTGTGTCATCATGCTGCAGTAGTTATAGCAAGAAACATGAGATATCTATATGGAAGCGTTTGGTGCTTGTGAGAGGCCCTCTTGGCATAGTTTCAGTCACAGAAATGGCCTTCTTGATTATGTTCATTGTTCTACTAGTTTGGTCCTTTTCAGTTTACCTTCAGAATGGTTTTGCCCAAATCACCCAAAAATCAGCAGCAGAAAAAGGTGTAAAAGTGTAAGAATATTCTTATCAAACACCTAATTTTAACATTAACTTAATTAGTACATGGTTACAAAAACATGTTATTTTTGCATCAAAGTATTAAGACTTCTATTCAATTGGGCATTGTGATAATAAGGGTTGGTGTTGTTGATAGATATTTTTTTTTTTCTTTTGATTTTGGCAGTTGGGAGATGAAACTAGGCAGTGCAGGTGTGAGGTTGGGTCTGATTGGGAAGATATGTTTGGCATTCTTGTTTTTTCCAGTTGCTCGTGCTTCCTCGGTGCTGCCACTGCTTGGACTCACATCAGAGAGATGCATCAAATACCATATTTGGTTAGGACACTTGGCCATGACCCTTTTCACTGCTCATGGTCTTTGTCTCATCATCAAATGGGCACTTACTGGTCAACTTTCAAAGGTTCATCAACATCCTTATATGTTCTTACTAGTTATTTTTTAGGAGAGATGAAATTATTTTATGAACAAGAAAGAGTTAATCTTCCTCTTCCTCTTCAATTTTCTTGTAATATAACGGTATTAACGAGTAATTCTTCTTTGATCGTTAGATTAAAAGGAAACAAAGAATAAAGATGAAAATCAGAGTAACTTGTTCTCTCCTTGTTAGTTTTCTTAATATTTTATGAAGTTAATAAGTACTAAGTAAAAGAATAAATGTATTTAACTATTTTAAAATATAAAAAAATTTCTTTTTTTTTTTTCTTTGTTCTGCAAGTAGCAGAATTTGTTGGATCTTGGAAGGTGTGTCTTTCAGAAGGTTTAAAACTGTTCTCGTTCGTTTGTAAATTGCAACAGCATGTCATTGTATTATTATTATTATTATTATTATGTATCACGAGAAAATTTAATGTATTGAAACTTCTAAAGTGTAGTGCACGAATCAAAGAAACGAGACAATAAATTGACTAGGGAAATGTGAGCAAAATAGAGAATTAAGAAAAGTCAATACTCACGCTCACTTGATCATATATTTTTTCCCATAAATGCAACCACAATATTTTTTCCCATGTTATTATTTTTTGTGCTCTATTACGCCAAGATAGTTTGTAAATATACCACAATTTTGTTTTTTTTGGTAGTCTCATCTGAATTGACCGTTGATCATATGAGCAATGATGCAAATTTAGCATGGCTATAGTTAATAGTTATTCCTACATTATTTATTGTATTTTTTATGTTGTGGCATGATTTTGTGTGAAAGCAGATGCTGGAATGGAAAAAAAATGGGATATCAAACGTAGCTGGAGAGGTAGCTTTGGTTGTTGGTTTGTTGATGTGGATTGCAGCCATCCCTCGCATTAGGCGAAAAGCTTTTGAGCTCTTCTTCTACACTCACTATCTCTACATTCTCTTCATTGTCTTCTTCATCTTTCACGTTGGCATGTTCCATGCATGCACTGTGCTCCCTGGTTTCTACCTCTTCTTGGTTGATCGTTTCCTAAGGTTTTTACAATCAAGATTGCGAGTTCGTTTGGTTTCTGCTCGTGTTTTGCCATGTCAAACTGTAGAACTCAACTTCTCCAAGAACCATGGTACGATTAACACGACTATCTTAGTTCACTATTATGCTTGTGTTTTAGTTTTTAGTCCTTTAAAGTGTTTTTGTTAAACAAAATTCATCTTTCTACTGGTTTACTAAACTAATGTAGTCAATTTAATAACATGTGACAAACTATGAGATATGGCTCATCAGACATATGTCATATTAATCAAAATTAAATTAAAAAAAATACAGAATCACCAATTCGGTCTAAATACAGATATCTTAAAAAGAGAAAAGTAGAACTCATTAAACTTAAGAAATTGACTTAATGTTAAAACCAAAAAAATTGAGACAAGTGAGCAGAAGGTATTTCAGTCTTCAATATATATACCTCTTGAGAAATGCCTTTTTTTTCATGTTAAGATTTTCTTCAGAAAAAATGTGACATGTTTTTTTTGGTTTTTGGCAGGTTTGACTTACAGTCCCACGAGTATAATGTTCATAAATGTACCAAGTATATCCAAGTTACAGTGGCATCCATTTACCATTACTTCTAATAGTAATTTGGAGCCAAAAATGTTGAGTGTTGTAATCAAAGGTGCGGGAACTTGGTCCCAAAAGCTCTACCAGATGCTTTCAACCCCTTCTGCAATAGATCATCTCAATGTCTCTGTTGAAGGTCCGTATGGACCTGCATCAACCAATTATCTAAGGTCTGCATCTCAGAAGATTAATCAATTTGGACTCCTCACTTTTATTTAATACTTTAATTTCCTAGTAATTAATAACTCTTACTTTTTTATTCACTAGGTATGACACTATTGTGATGGTTAGTGGAGGGAGTGGAATCACCCCTTTTATCTCCATCATCCGGGAGTTAATGCATTTGACCTCAACATTCAAATATAAAATACCAAAAGTTATCCTAATTTGTGCATTCAAAAAATCTTCATATCTCTCAATGCTAGACTTAATCCTTCCAATATCTGGCACCCCCTATGATATTTCCAACATGCAATTACAAATTAAGGCCTACATCACAAGAGAGGAGGAGCATGAATTGAAAAGCCAAATTCACACTCAACAAATATGGTTCAAGCCTAAGGCAACAGATGCATCCATATCTGCTATTTTAGGTCCAAACAATTGGCTTTGGCTTTGTGCTATAATCTCATCCTCGTTCATAATTTTCCTTATCATAATTTTTATCATCACCCGATACATCATTTTCCCTAGAGACCATAATTCTCATAAAATGTTCTCACAACCTTTGAGTTCATTACTCAACATGTTAGCAATATGTGTGTCAATAGCAATGGCTGCTAGTGCAGCTGTTCTTTGGAACAATAAACACAATCACAAAGAAGCAAAGCAAATTCAGGAGTTAGAAGGATCATCAATTGATGAAAGAGATAAAGAACTAGAAAGCCTCCCATACCAATCCATTGTTCAAGCTACAAAGGTGCATTATGGTGTAAGACCTGATCTTAAAAGTAAGTTATTTACCTATTACTTTAACTATGGCCTAGAGATTTATCAATGAAATGAACTCAATTTTTTTTCCCCTTTTTTCTCATTTTGCAGGACTGCTATTTGAATTTAAAGGGTCAAGAGTGGGAGTTTATGTTTCTGGACCCAAGAAAATGAAGCAAGAAGTTGCTACCATTTGCTCATCTGATTTAGCTGAAAATTTGTATTTTGAGTCCTTTAGCTTTAATTGGTAATATTTTTTCTGATACTTTTTGTAGAAATTGTAAAATGTAGCTACTAGAAGGTACGTAGTGGTTTCAGCTAAGAAATGTTTAGCTAATTTCGTAGCTTTAATATAAATAAAAATTAGTTATATATATAAAAAAATCTGGTCCTAATCATCGCTTCCAAGATATCTCTTTGTTTCGTATGAAAAGGTAAACCGAGTTTCATTTAAAAATGTAATTTATGGATACCAAAAATATAAAAGGGGTGTTTATTTCAAATTTTTACTTAAATATAGACAAACTATTTACGCACAAATAGATTGTGAGGACCAACTATATGACTCCATAATAATATCTACAACTATTATTGAATTGACTCATTGATTTGTTTCAATTTTAAAATCCTTTTTAGAATCAAACTGCAAAACTTGTTTACCTGAGGATTCAATGTAATTGTTATATTCAATAATCGAACTCGAGATATCAGATTAAAGTGAAACAACCTCACCGCTAGTTGATTCAGGTTATAGCTTACTATTTGCAAAATCATTTCAATGGAACATAAATTTCACTCCCCTAATCATCTTTGATAATTCTTTCACGAAATTGATGAATAGACAAGATAACATGGATCAATATGAGGTAATCCCCTAGGCAACATCTTGCTGTTAGGTCCAAACAAATAACATTCAATTTCATGATTGCACAATTCAGAAGGGACAGCATAACTTGACTACAGAAAACACAGCAAATGCTACCCACTCATCTAATCCGCAATTTTCAGGCAGAGATCGGAAAAAACAATTATATTTATATATCTTTTAAAAATAAACTTTTTAGAATGAACTTTCAAAAATAAAAAGTGTAACTTTTGAATTATAAATTTTAAAAAATATATTAATATTAATGTAAAATAATCACTTTAGAGGTTCAAAACAAGAGGTTTATTAATCTTGCACCCACCTTGTTTTTTGGGACTTGTGTTTTGGGATAAGGATGACAAATCTTGTAGTGGGAAGACAAACTACATTCTGGCTTAAATTTTACTATCATAAAGTAAGTTTTACAGCAAATATTCTGTTGGTGTCACATGTGATGATCTGATTGGCTTAATGTAGTACCATGTTTTGTCTCGTAACTTAAGCCATCCGATCCAGTTATAGTTAGCTTTCAAGCTTCAACGTTTCTTGCATCCTCAAAATAAAGAAATAAAGAATCATTTTATGGGTAGTCTGCAAGTTCAAAATAATTATTCAACAAGCAGGTCACAAGACTACATATTTTTTATTATTTTTATTATTAGTAGTAGTAGAAAAAAGAGAGACTTCATATCTTTTAAATTTTAAAAATTATAAATTAAAAAAATTGAATGCCTAATTGTGGATAGTTACTTATAAAATATAAACAGCTATTTCATTTATTTTTCTTAATAAATAAGAAGTATAATGATTCATTAAAAATATAAATAAAAAATAATTATTTATCATATATTCTTTTTATAATAGATATAGATTATTATTATTATTATTATTATTACTATTATTATTATTATTATTATTATTATTCATAAAACCGAATATGGTACTAACAAAATTTACAACAATTTATACATCATCATCAACCAATTGAATTAGGTTCCTTCATGATTGTATATTCTCATATTATAGATAATCAAAAATATTTTCCTTTTATTTTAAGATAAAAAATTTCAGCATATATCTAGATTGAAGAAGAAAAAAAGTTATAAATTTTATCAAAATATTAGTTATATTGTAAATGTAGTATGATTGTCTTCATGTTATTGATATATTATTCATATTTGTTTTTTCTATAGGAACATCAATTGATGTTTTAACTCTTAAAATCAATTTTCTAAAACTTGGTGAAGGTATTTTTCCTTTGTTTTTAAATACCACCTTTGCTCTTTTTTAGACATTTATTTTTTTGTAAAAAGGATAAGATGGTGTAATATTATTCTCTTATTTTTTCATTATTTTAATTTTTGAGTTATTCAATAGGAGCAATGTTGACTTTATACATATTTTTTTTCTAGTTGATTCCGACTTTCCTAATATGTTAGGCCATCTTGCACCATTAATTTACTTATTTATTTTAAGACTAATGTGATTATTAATTTGTATTTCCATAAAATTTTTAAACATTTTATTAATTTAAAAAATTATTATGATAGTGCTTTCTATTTCTAAATTTAAGGTCTAAAAATAACTATTTACTCTATTTTATGGGTCAATGGATGAACAAAAGCTTTGGAGTAGTCCGACAACCGGCAAGCTGTCAATATTGGTGCTAATCAAAATGCTAGAATGCTATACAAGCTTAAGAAACAATTATAAATCAAATGTGGAAAAGTTATCACCTGTCTTTAATCTTATAGAGGATTTCTATAGTTGATGTTTTGTTTGAGACATATGATGCTTATTATATTTGTAAGTTTGTTTTTAAACTTAAAATGCAATGATGGATGTATTTAACATTTTTATAGATAGATAGATACTTAATAATAATATGAAATTTCAATTAGGCAACATTTTTTTGTTTTACACAATTTTTCTGGTTAGAAACAATTTTTTTTACTCTAGGTTTTTAGGTTTTTACTTAGTAGGCATAATGTATTTGACTTTTTTTCGTGGACTTGACATCCCTTGCGCTAATGTTCATTTTCAATAGTAATGAAATCTTATTTGATTATTAAAAAAAATATGAAATTTAATGCACTGTTTGATATGTGCATATTATAAAATGGATAAAAATTCAAAATTATAATATAAATATATTTATATTATTCACCAATTCATTTCAAAATTCATTAAAAAAAGCATCTAATTTCGTATTAAAAATGGTAAAATCAAACACATTTCATCATTCAGTTTCTAGAAGCAGAAAATAAAAAACATTTTTAATTTTTAAAAATTTGGAAATAAAATCTATCTTCAGAAAATAAAAATAAAAATGTTTTCAGAAATCTATCAGCTCTTAAAGATTGCCTATACAAATACTCGATAACAAAAAACATTTTCTTAAATCAAATCACCCTTAAAATTGAGCCAAGAGATCCCAACAACTTGCTTATATGGTAAAAGGCTAAAATGCCAACTCAAGATATTATGTTTGAGATTTAATAAATTATAAATAAACTATATTTTTATTAAAAGTATTACAAAGTTTTAATAAATCTTAAATCTGATTACACTTAAAGAAAAAGAAAATATGAAATCCTTTATTTTGGAGAGAATGATTTTATGGACCATCGTAGGTAATCCATACAAAAATAATGCAGAGTTATTGAAGGTTAAGACTGATCAATTCCTCTTTAACAAAACAGCAGAGGTTTTCCAAGACAAATAAAATGAGTTTCATTATTTTTATTCTTTAATTGTTGACAGAAAATCAAGAGTGTAGGAATTTAATGATGGATTTTTGTTTTTGCACCCATTAACCGCAGGAAGCAATTTAGCAATTTGAAAAATTAAGAAATGGAAGGGGATAATCATGGTCACTTTTTTTACTTTCTTTTTTCTTCTTTGGCACTGCATACGCCAAGAACTTGCTTGTTGATTACACTCCACAATAGAACCATGCTAAAAGCAAGAGTCTCTAGATCAATAAGCCATGTTTATATGAAAATTAACTCTAGTACCATAAAACAGAAAATGGCACTATATAGAGAAATAGCAAACAAGAAACAGGAACAAACAAGTCTATGATAAGCTCAATTAAGGGAGAAAAAACAAGGGCATAAATTCCACTTTGAATGTCAGGCTGATCAACAGCATATAACTAATTATATACAGATGGATCTGTTTATGCTTTTACAAAAACACATGTTACAAAATGTGGATTAAAAGTGAAAAGAATAATGAAATCCTCAAACATGCACAAGCCTCCCTCCAGATATTTCTAACCTCTATCTACACGTTCTATTCTGGATTCATTGGATTGCACCATAAAATGTTTCGTTACTAAACCAAGGAATAAACGTAGTTTTATGGTCCTCAATCAAATACGTTTATTCCGGTTCCCACAATCAAATCCAAGGGAAAGTACTTACGTGTGACATGATCATTGAGACTGATATGTGGGCGAGGTGAAAAACCACCCAATCAGATTTCTTCAGCAAGAAACAAGTGTGTACCGCAGTCCAGATGTGAATTCTTTACACTCATTTTTCTACCACATTTGCAACTGATGAAAGTTTCTCTTCCAGGTCTACCAGCAAATCTTGATATTCAGTAAATGCTGGGTGTGACTGTAGTGCACAGAAAAGGGTCATGGACATCATATTTTGTTCATTCAATTATACGCGATGCCAAGATAATATAACATATTAGGAAAACAAAAATAGATGTACCTCCAGGGTTGTGCTGTACGCTTTCCAAAGCCGGACATCATGACGGAATAAGTCAAAAAGAACCTGAAAATCTCAAAAGAATACACTGGTCAACAAAGTGAACAACCCTTTCTAAAATGGAAAAAGATCCAAAAGTGACAAAACCATATAAAAATATCTCCCTTAGACACATTTGACCCTCTCTTCAAAGCATGTCGTGACATGTTTCCACCAAGACATTCCAAAAATAAGCACAGCATGTCAGCATAATTTTTTCACTACAAAAATATCTCTCTACCATTTTTTTCTCTAATTTGAGTAATTTCAACATTAGTTTTGATGAAATCATGTCAGCATAATTTCAGATCTGCTATCCTGTACGCAAAGAAGCCAAATATACCTCAGAACGTCTTAAGAGAGTAGCCAGGACAACTATCCATTCCTTAAACTTGACAGAGCACATATGAGCCAGGAGAAAGTCAGCATCCAAACGGCTCTGTAATGTTCCCATTTGAAGCTGGTAAAAAAAAATAGTGTTCAATAATGGAGCCAAGAAAACAAAGCTAATGAAAATATCAGCATAAATCTAGAGAAGCTCCTGCCAAATGTTCAAAGACTGCATTATAACAGATTTTGAAATTGGCTTCAGCTGGGAATCATCAGTTTTACCCCTTGTAAGATCTTAATCATGATTCATGGTTATTTTGACATCATAACTTTTTTCTGTAGAAAAATAAATTTTACCAAAGACAGAAAAGGAGGAAAGTAAAATGGCAGGAGGATAAAGAATAAACCTATATCTAAACAAA